GCGATCAGCCATTTTGACTATTAAAAATCCACTTAGTTATTTGCCATAGTAGGTCATGGGTCTTCCAAAATGGGTCACGGGTCCTCAAAAATGGGAAAAAGTTCAAAATGGTTTTAGTTTGTATCTGGGGAGTTTTGAGAATACCAGTGCACGATTCTGCGATCTGATTGTCGATATCGTGACCCATAGTAGGTAATGGGTCTTCCATAAAGGGTCACGGGTCTCCAGAAATGAAAAAAAGTTCAAATATTCCCAAAATGGTTTTAACTTATATCTAGGGGTTTTTAGAGCACCAGAACATGATTTCGAGGTCTAATTATCGTTATGTGACCCATAGTAAGTAATGGCTCTTCCAGAATGGGTCACGGGTCTCCAAACATGAAAAAAAGTTCGAATATTCCTGAAATATGGTTTTATCTTTTGTATCTGCGGGTTTGAAAGAACACCGAAGCACAAATCTGAGCTTTGATTGTCGATATTGTAACCCATAGTAGGTCATGGGTCTTCCAAAATGGGTCACTGGTTTAAAAAAATTGGAAAAAGTTCAAATATTCTCAAAAAGGTTTTAACTTGTATATGGAATTTTAAGAGCACCAGAGCACGATTTTGAGGTCTAATTATCGATATTGTGACCCATAGTAGGTAATGAGTCTTCTAAAATGGGTCTCCAAAAATGAAAAACAATTCAAACATATATGAAGTGTGGTTTTAACTTGTATATGGATTTTTGAGAGCACCAGAGCAGGTCATGGGTCTTTCAAAATATGTACGTGTGTCAAAAAATTGGTCAATGTTTTGTATCATTTTGAAAAATGGTTTTAACTTGTATATGGATATTTGGAGAGCACCAGAGCACGAATCTGTGGTCTGATTGTCGATACCGTGACCCATATTAGGTAATAGGTCTTTCAAAATGGGTCACGTGTCTCCAAAAATTGAGAAAACTTCGAATATTCCTGAAAAATGATTTTAACTTGCCCCTTAGGGTTTTTGAGAGAACCAGAGCTCAAATCAGAGATCTGATTTTCGATATCGTGGCTCATAGTAAGTCATAGGTCTTCCAAAATGGATCACGGGTCTCCAAAAATGGAAAAAAGTTTGAATATTCCTGAAAAATGGTTTTAACTTGTACTTTGGGGTTTTTGAGAATAGCAGATCACAAAATTGAGATCTGATTTTCGATATCGCGACCCATAGTTAGTCGTAGGTCTTTCAAAATGGGTCAGGGAACTCCGAAAATGGGAAAAAGTTTGAATATTCTCGAAAAATGGTTTTAACTTGTACTTTAGGGTTTTTGAGAGCACCAGAGCACAAAACTGAGATATGATTTTTGATATTGTGACCCATAGTAAGTCAAAGGTCTTCCAATATGGATTACGGGTCTTCAAAAATGAAAAAAAAGTTTGAATATTCCTGAAAAATGATTGTAACTTGTACCTGGAGATTTTTGAGAGCACCAGAGCACAAATCTGAGGTCTGATTGTCGATACCGTGAACCCTATCAGGTAATGGGTCTTCCAAAATGGGTCATATGTCTCCAAAAATTGGAAAAATTTCGAATGTCCCTAAAAAACGATTTTTAACTTGCCCCTCAGGGCTTTTGAGAGTACTAATGCAAAAATTGAGATCTGATTTTCGATATCGTGACCCAAAGTAAGTCATAACTCTTCCGAAATGGGTCACGGGTCTCCAAAAATAGAAAAAAGTTTGAATATTCCTTAAAAATGGTTTTAACTCATACCTCAGGGTTTTTGAGAGCACCAGAGAACAAAATTGATATCTGATTTTTTGATATCGTGACCCATAGTAAGTCATAGGTCTTCCAAAATGGGTCACGGGTCTCCAAAAATGGAAAATAATTTGAATCTGCGCCTTGTTTGTAAACAGTCTAACAATACGTCACGTTAATCCCCATTGAGTATCTATCTACCTGCTGACTTCATCATTCAGATTAGAATTGTCAATTCAGTACTGATGATATCTCTTATGACTTCCAGGGTGTACCTCGAAGGAGCGCAACTGAATCTCAGAAATTTATATCCAGAAGTTTCATTTCCTGTGGGGCGTGGGACGAAAATGCTATCTCCTTTAGTGAAATGGGACCACAGCGTGTCCTGGTTCGCCGATGTATGGAAACACTTGGACTATTTTGGCGATGTTATTTCGGTCAACGTTTCGGATGAGAAATATTCCTACCTCAGAGGACATTATATTGACGGAAGGGTTTTGATGCCCGCCACTGGATATTTGGTAAGTGAAAATTAGAAAATAGAGTTAGCACTGTGAACAGAGAACAAGTTTGTATATAGGCACATTTGACGCAACATGATCCGGCTCGAAGGACCATGTTGTGTTTATGGATTTTATACCATAATCATGTTTTTTTAAATAAAAATGCAATGTAATGAAAATAATGTTATGAAACATATTACATGTTTCCATCGAGACAACTCAAGTAATAGTGACTGAAAATAACAAAAATAACCATCTGTCTTCAGATACCAAACACCCTTTTTCTTCCTACAACTCGATTACTTGGCAAAGGCAGTGACGATCGGATTCTTAGAATTTATTAATCGGGTGCGACTAGACAACACGATAGTCCCATGAATATAGGCACATTTGACGCATCATGATCCGGCTCGAAGGACCATATTGTTTTTATGGATTGTATACCATAATCATGTTCTTTTTGAATAAAAATGTTTCCATCGAGACAACTTAAGTAATAGTGACTCAAAATAACCACCTGTTTACAGGTACCAAACACCCTTTTCCTTCCTACAACTCGATTACTTGGCAAGGGCAGTGACGATCGGATTCTTAGAATTTATTAATCGGGTGCGACTAGACAACACGATAGTCCCATGAATATAGGCACATTTGACGCAACATGATCCGGCTCGAAGGACCATATTGTTTTTATGGTTTTTATACCATAATCATGTTCTTTTTGAATAAAAATGCAATGTATTGAAAATAATGTAATGTAACATGTAACATGTTTCCATCGAGACAACTCAAGTAATAGTGACTCAAAATAACCACCTGTTTACAGGTACCAAACACCCTTTTCCTTCCTACAACTCGATTACTTGGCAAGGGCAGTGACGATCGTTAGAATTTATTAATCGGGTGCGACTAGACAACACGATAGTCCCATGGATATAGGTATATTTGACGCAACATGATCCGGCTCGAAAGACCATGTTGTGTTTATGGATTTTATAACATAATCATGTTTTTTTTTAATAAAAATGCAATTTATTGAAAATAATGTAATGAAACATACTACATGTTTCCATCGAGACAACTCAAGTAATAGCGTTTTTTTAATTTTTTTAATGTTGGTACATTCGTCTCAGAAATATGTTCACTTTTTCAGATGTTTAGTTTGTTGGTGAGAGGCGTGAAAGTTAGAAGAGTTTGGTGTGTTCGGTTATTTTCTGCTATCGAAAAAAATGGATCAGAGAATGTGCATCGAATTCTGTGTAGGAAATGGAATTAAGTGCTCAGAAACATTCGAAACGTTGACAGTGCCATACGGTGATTGTACCCTGGTCAGAAAAATGTTGTAAAAGTGGTACAAGTTTTTCACAGTAGGTCGAGAAGATGACAATTGTCGAATCACTATTGAAGAAGTTGCTGAGGGCGACGGCATATCGGTTGGCTATTGCCATGCAATCATTTTGGTATTGTGGAAAAACAATTCGTGGCGTTTGCATCACAATAATACACCTGCTCGCCATTGCTTACGGTAATACAGTAATCATGTCCCAGTCACCGTATTCACCAGATTTGTCTCCCTGTGACTTTTTTGTTCTCAAGGTTGAAGAGACCCACGGAAGGGCAGCGTTTTACGCCGATTGAGAAAATATAACCCAAATTGCTGAGAAACCTGAACAACATAACAAAATGTGCGTTCACAATTGTTTCGAGGAATGAAAAAAATGCTGGCACAAGTGTATTATATCTGAGGAGGGAGGAGTGTCTTCTACATTTTCACGGTGAAGGCTGATAAATACAAACAACCAGAAATAATAAAACTGTCACATCGCATACTCAGAAACGTCTGAAACTGATGTCAATTCCTACTCGGTTGCGCATTTCGGATATCTGGTGACGTAACGCCTTTCGCCAAACCGTTCCTTTGAGGCTGTTCTTTGAAGCGTCAGATCCAGCTATTCGCGAGGAAGTATTCTTCGCCAATATTCGTCAAATTTTTTGTAGATTTCATTAATTTGAATAAAAAAAGTGGCAATGAACATATTCTCCATTCATATTCTAATGAGATAGAAAGTGCTCCAGTTTATAAGGAAAACAGTTTTTCATCAGAGGAAGAATAGCTCTCAGTTTCATAAACTCGTTGAATTTCCACTACTTTGATGAAATTCGTATAAGATCTTATTGTTAACCATCGAATTTTGTAAATTTATATTCTGAATCAGTTCACCTTACAGTTACAAATTTTTTTCTTATGTTGCATTTGTTATTGCGTTCATAAGGTTTGTTTTTGACTATTTTACGTACAGTTGAGGAAGGAATTTCGATCAAATTTGAACAGATAACAATTTTAAGTAATTATAACTGCACCAATATCGAATTTCAACACTCAAATCGCGATCAGTTCCTGAACTGAACAATAATGGTACGACGGCGATAACCATCCCTGCATTCCCGACTTCTATTTGTCATCGTAACATTACTTCAAATTCAATTTTACGACTCTTCAGCCAATCATAAAACTCGTTTAGTAAAAATGATCCAATACGAACCGCCAATTCTGCAGTTCACGTGGACTATTTCGCAGCTGGTTCATTTCTATGTATTGTTTTTTTTGGCCTTTGAGTGTGCCGCCAACTTTAAATGTTCACAGTATCGTTTACTTCGACTATACTTTTACTGATCATGTTTCTTATTCAGGAGTTGGTATGGAGGGTTTTGGCCAAATTTCACCTGAAAGAGATAGAGCAGCTGCCCGTAGTGATACAAGACGTGAAATTCAAAAGAGCAACGGTACTACCGGACGATGGAAATGTCCAATTCATCGTGAATATCTTCAAGCAGTCTGGAAATTTCGAAGTATTCGAAGGCGGGTCAGTAGTCGCTTCAGGAAAAATCAGCGTACCAAAAGACGTGACCAGAGAATTCGTTCAACTTTCTGGTGAAATCGAAGAATCAGAACACAATAGGTATGTAAGATGGGATGAAAAAGTATTAGACTAAGTTGATTCAATATAGTTGCCTTTGAGGGCGATACGACGATTATAGCGGTCATACAATTTTCCGTTATCAGGATTCGATATTATATATCTTAAGCCTAAATGAAACAAGTGAATAGAATTTTTATGTGACACGGTTTCATTGAAAAAAAAAAGTAAAAAATGTACTAAAAGCTGGAAAATCATTCGGAAGGTCATAGGTCATAGGTAGCAGTCATCACACCACTCTCCCCAGCAATCTACGGTATTGATCAGATGAAAAATAATAAAATCACTGGGCTTAGCGTAATCTGAGTAAATATGTAAATACTACGCCCAACGATTTCATTATTTTTTCATCTGATCAATATGGTAAATTGCTGAGGAGAGTGGTGTGATGACTACTACCTTGGACCTTCCGAATTATTAATTAGCTTTTAGTAAATCAGTAGTCTGTAGAGTAGGGAGGGGGAGTGTAGGCTCACAGCTCTCAGGCCACATGTGACCCATTGTACATCCTCCCGAGGAGTTGTCCTCCTAGGTCATCGCCCATCCTGTCCTGTCCAGGAAGGTGGATAGGTCACTAAGAGACATCTCCTTTATATCGACGATAACTCCGGACACTCGCTTAAGACATGCCTGACAGTTTCATCTTCCTGTTCATACATCCTGCATAAAGGTGTGTCCACTAGTCCCATAATATGGTGGTGTTTCCTAAGTTGACAGTGTCCAGTCGGAAATTCTACTTTTAAGCGTAGGTTTTTCCTACGCTTAACAGGAATTTCCGACTTTGATTCCATCCCATCTCTTTAGGGATTGAGCATGGCTGTAACTTTTGGCTGGTTCCGCAATTGTCGAAGTCATCAGGCCTTAGGCCTGGGTCCTAAAATTCTCAGTCCAGCCGCTTCCTTGGCTAAAGAGTCGGCAATGCGATTACTTTTACTCCTGTCGTGCTCTTTAACCCACCTCAGAATAATTTTATTATCTACCGAGGCTTTGGCTAAATCTTGGTGGCATTCTAGTACTAGCCCTGAGGTAACACGTTGTCTGTTCAAGGCTAATAGGGCTTGTCTGCTGTCAGTGCAGATCGTTATGTTTTTGCCAGAAATTCCTTTCCTGGTTATTTCTTTTGTGGAGATTGATATACCAGCCAGTTCTGTTTGGATTACGCTGGTATTTTTCCTATTCCCCACTTAATTCTTAGGGTTAGTGATCCATAGTACACTCCACATCTTGAGCCTTTTTTGGTTTTTGAGCCGTCTGTATATATGCGTATTGCATTTGTAGCATCTGACTGTGTGTTCCGTTTTATTTGCATTTTGTAGGGTTTATTCAACACAAACCTGGGTTAATTTGCATCCCTTGTTGCCTGCAGCAGATATTGCGCCATAGGCTCAGCCTCAATTGATCTATTCCTACTTCGAGGTTTTCACCAACCGTACGCAATCGTAACATATCCATTAACGCAACCACCTTAACGTACAGGTCTGTTGCCGCGGTTGGTGTTGTCCTCATCGCTCCTGTGATGTTTGAACAATCCAATCGCTGTATTTGATATAATTTTTACTCCTGTCGTGCTCTTTAACCCACCTCAGAATAATTTTATTATCTACCGAGGCTTTGGCTAAATCTTGGTGGCATTCTAGTACTAGCCCTAAGGCTAATAGGGCTTGTCTGCTGTCAGTGCAGATCGTTATGTTTTTGCCAGAAATTCCTTTCCTGGTTATTTCTTTTGTGGAGATTGATATACCAGCCAGTTCTGTTTGGATTACGCTGGTATTTTTCCTATTCCCCACTTAATTCTTAGGGTTAGTGATCCATAGTACACTCCACATCTTGAGCCTTTTTTGGTTTTTGAGCCGTCTGTATATATGCGTATTGCATTTGTAGCATCTGACTGTGTGTTCCGTTTTATTTGCATTTTGTAGGGTTTATTCAACACAAACCTGGGTTAATTTGCATCCCTTGTTGCCTGCAGCAGATATTGCGCCATAGGCTCAGCCTCAATTGATCTATTCCTACTTCGAGGTTTTCACCAACCGTACGCAATCGTAACATATCCATTAACGCAACCACCTTAACGTACAGGTCTGTTGCCGCGGTTGGTGTTGTCCTCATCGCTCCTGTGATGTTTGAACAATCCAATCGCTGTATTTGATATAATTTTTGGATGGCCGTTGCTTGTAGAACTTTCGGTCCCCATGCAATGGCTCCATACGTTAACATAGGTCTTATTATTGCAGTGTAGATCCAGGTGACCACAAGGGGTGAAAGACCCCATGTGCGTCCCACTGTCCTCTGACATTTGGTATGGGGTGAGTGCGAAGCATGGGAGGAAGAGATGTGCTTGAAGTATAACGAGAGGAAAACAGAGTGCATGTTCATACCAACTGGTAAGGATGTAAGACTCCCTGTGCTGAGAATGCATGGAAGAGAGATAGAACAAAAAACGAGTGTGAGATACGTCGGAATTGTGGTGGACACAGGACACACAGGACACACAGGACACAGGACCACCACAAAGAGGTAAGGAAGAAACTGAGTGAGCTGGCAGGGAAGAATGTTGGACTAAAGAGAGAATGTGTGTGGATGATATATGAAAGGGTAGCCAAACCTGCGGCACCGTATGGGGTACAAGTCTGGGGGTAAAGGGCACATGATAGTAGGGTGAAAAACCTGAGTGCAGCACAGAGGCCGTTTCTGTTAGCTTTATGTGGAGCATACAGAACGACGCCAACAGCGGCACTCAGTGTCATCACCGAAATGGCGCCTCTTCAAATAGAAGGATGGGTCAGATATCATGAATGGAGAGTGAATGGGAGAAGGAAGATAGAAGATGGAGTGAAAGATGAAGACAAAATTTTCCCCTGGTTGCAAGGGGAGCTGCTGGAGGAGATGGAGGGAGAGGAGGTGAGTATACGTGGACGCCGGAGCGATAATGGAAGAAGAAAGGATGGGAATAGGATGGGCGTATAAAAGGGGAGGGGATGAATGGATCACGGGGAATGAAAGGATCACCTGGCAAAGTAGCGAGAATGAAGCAGAGTCAATAGCGATAGAGCGTGTGATTGGCATGTGGAGTATGGAGGAGAATTTGAAAGTAGTTAGTGACTCTGCTATGGCTGTAGAACGAGTGAATGCAGGAAGAGTGGTGAATAAAAGGATAGCAAGGATACAGACGATGATTGAGGAAAGAAGAGAAAGGGGACTACGTACCCAAATGATATGGAGGAGGGGACACGTAGCCGGCAATATGGGACACGTGAAGGCTCATGAACAGGCCCATATGGGCGTCACACGTAAGACAAATACACAATGAATTGGATGAGAGAATACGCATAAAAGAGAACATCAAGAGGGAATGGCAAAGGGAATGGGAGAGGGGTGCGACTGGGCGACTGTTCTCCAGATACTGTAGAACAGTCGGGAATGAATCACTGGATCTGTCGCGAAAGGCGATCCAGATTCTCACGGGGCATGGGAATTTCCCGGGATATCTGGCGCGATTTAACCTGGGCTCGGAGGTTCCCTGCCCGTGTGAGTATGGGGAGCCGGAAACAGCAGAACACATGATTGATAGATGTATGATAGGGGACAGGATTGGATGGCGAGTGTGGAATGAAAGAATGGAGAGGGTGAATGGCAAAATGAGACTGAGGGATGCAATTGGAAAAAGAATGAATGGATACGATTTGCGAATGAATGGGCAGACAGCGTGGTGAGGGACGAAAGGGAATGATTTGGGCAAGTTACCAGAACACAGAAGAAACGGGGAAAGGTCGCTTCTGTGATATGTGACTGTCATCTTGGTCTGGGGAATTGTATATGAATCCGGCATATGAGTTCACATTGTGAGGGAAAAAGGGGAATATGGGTTGGGATAGAAAATTTGTTTCATTTGATTTGGATCATGGATGAATAGAAGGAATGTTTGTGTTTATTTATCTTTTGAAATAGTTAAGTTATCATTACCGTAATTAAGAATTTAGTTCAAGTTGTTGAGATTGTAAATAATTATATTGTAAAATGGTATTTGAGAAATAAAGAGATGGGTCTACTACCCCGCTAAATCGTCCCAGTGCATTGGCGGCGTTCTGCGTCGGTGATGCGGTGGGGGGAGAGTTCTGAGGAGTAGGGGTTTCCTTGACAGTGGTGGCGCTAGACAGAGGGAAGATGCCAGTTGAAAGGCCTTTGGGCTAGGGCAACGATGGCGATGGCATTATTCATGTCCTCTCACATTGCTCATAAGCCATATATGCTCTTTTTGCTCTACTCTGTAGATGAAAGTTCCATGTTAGCTACCTGTCGAGGATAGTACCAAGGTATTTCACCTCTTCAGAGAAGTTTAGTTTGCTTTTGAAGATTTCGGGAGAATCAAGCCTGATAAACTTCCTTTCCTTGGGAGTGATCGACAGTGAGTGTTCCTCACCTCCTTACCTCAAATTTATCAATTTGAGCCCATTCTGCGCTCTATCGCACAGTGTGTTCACAAATTTGGCGGTCTGCAAGATAACTATGTCATCTGCATTTGCAATTGTGTGGAATGCATTATTGTTGAGGTGATTAATCAGGATATTCAGGCCTACTTCAATGGGGACTGGATATTCTTATGCCGCACCTGGTTGGAATATTCAGAGCCTCTCTAGCTCTGAGGTATATTCCCAGTAAGTGGAGAGAAGTACGAGTAGTATTTATACCCAAACCAGGTAGGATGGACTACACCTTACCAAAAGCATTCCGACCAATTAGTCTCACATCGTTCTTCTTAAAAACTATGGAGAGGCTATATGAGCGGTACGTGAGAGCTGAAGTACTTGTTCACAACCCCCTTCATCCAAATTAGCATGCATATACTCCGGGAAGGTCTACTGATTCGCCTCTTCACCATGTGGTTGGCAGAATCAAGAGATTAATGGACAATAAAGAATCCACCCTGAGTATATTCATAGATATCGAGGGAGCGTTTGATAAAACAACCTTTCCAACAATCACCCAGCAATCCAGGAATGTACCCCTGGTAGTAGGAGAATGGATGCTCAAGATGCTCTCTAGTAGAGCAATAAGTATCATTGTAGAAGACATCACAGTGAGACTGGTCATGAGGGGATGTCCACAGGGAGAAGTCTTATCACCCCTTTTCTGGAACATAGTTTTGGATACCCTGGTTAATCACATTTTTTTATATTTGGGGAGTGATTGATTTCCAATATTTTTACGACTTAAGAAGATATAGAGGGAAAATCAAAGTTTGAAATTTTTAATTTTTTCCTCATTTCTCCTGAACCAAAATAACTACAGTCAGATATTTGGTGTCATTCCATGGTTATCTGAAAATGGCAAATTTGCCATAATTTAACTAATCTCTCATCATTTATAAGATCCCTATGGTGGGACTTGATGAACAGCCATGCAAATTTGACTGATTTTTCTCCCACAATTCCAATATATACAATTCCTCTTGCAGAAACTACCCCAAGCTATCAGGCGAAGATCTGTATAAGGAATGTCACTTGAGACGTTACATGTACAAAGACTCCTTCAAAGCTGTCACAGAATGCGATGTCGACGGACTCAGAGCAAAAATCCAATGGAGCGGAATGTTTACCAGTTTCATGGACGCGATGATGCATTCCAGCATCATTCGGGAACATCGAAGAGATATCAGTCTGCCGACGAGTATCGAGCAGATCGTTATAGACCCGATAACTCACTTGATGATCGTGAATACTGAGAAAGGTGAGTTGAATAAAAAGGTGATTACTGCGTCAAAGCTATTTTAAGAGTTTATTGATCGTTGTTGGTTAGTTTTTGCGGCTAAAATTTCGCCTACAGCTGCGATAGACTTCATGGAAGGCGAGGGAGCAACGGACGAAGTATTCTCGTTGTCTTCAAAGCAGATTTGGGTCTAGTGGTTTCATCAATAGGCTTAATACGTGTGAATTTTAGTGCAGGAATAATAATAATAATAACATGGTTGTTCTGATTATTGGAGTCCTTGGTGGAATGATGTCCTCCCTACTCTCGAATCTTAAAATCATACCGGCTTGCCGCACCAAGGCAGAAATCTTAGCCTCACAGATGCAGAAGGCTGTCACTCTTGGCTCACTGCGCTTGCTCAGGGCACATGATTCTCGGACCCGATGATCACCTACCCCACGGTATGGGGAGTGGTCATTGGCGCGCCCTCCCGAATGTATCGGGGCTTCGGGGGATAGGGCCTGACCAGCGCACACTACGCTGGTAGGAAAAAATACTATACAATACAAGCGTAACATCTCTATGGCCTGGATCGATTATCGTAAGGCATTCGATACAATTTCGCATGAGCTCATCTTGCTCAGATGCCTTGCGGTACCCGACAAAATAGAGAGATGCATTGAACAACTGATACCACTCTGGCGAAGTCGCTTCACCATAACATCTGGTCAAACAGGATATAGGTCACTTTCAGAAGGGGCGATTCCGTCAGTCCCCTTCTCTTCTGCATCTCACTTTTGCCATTATCCGTTGCGCTCAGAAATACTCGAGGGTATAATAGTGGCACCCCCGGAAACCGGAGCACAAGGTCTCCCATTTATTTTACATGGATGATCTTAAACTTCATACCTCTGGAGAGAAGGATCTCCATCAGTCCTTGAGGGTGGTGGAAGAGTACACGCATGCTATCAGTATGAAATTCGGGATAGACAAATGTGCAATGGTCCATCTAAAAAGAGGGCGATGCGGGGACTACGGAGAGGCTGTGCAGCTCGTAGATGGAAGCATCCTTCACCATCTGGATGCCGGAGAGACGTATACTTACCTCGGGGTGGAACAACGCCACTCACAAGAGGTAACAGCAGTGAAAAACTCTCTCCGCGGCAAGTATCAGCACAAACTTCGACAGATCTGGTCATCGTAACTGTCGGGGAAGAACAAAGTGTCTGCAACAAATATGCTTGCCGTTCCAATCTTACTCTTACTCGGGAGGAGCTGTATCAACTCGACGTAAAGACCTGAAAAATGATGCATCTCTATAGGAGTTTACAACCCAAATCGTCCGTTCCAAGGTTGTACTTCCCCCGACAACAGGGAGGCCATGGACTTTTGAGTTTGGAGTGTCTACATGACAGAATGGTACTGGATACAGCCTACAGTCGTCAGGAGTTTGGATCTCCTCTGCATGGTCCATGACCATGAAAGAGCAGGAATTGGAGCATTTCTCTTCAGGGCAGCTGCCCGAGCAGCTGATGAACTCTGTATAGTTTTCGACACTGAACGAGGTGACTACAACTCTGTCACCGAGTTGGAACCTGTTCAGCAAAAAGTTCAGATAAAAGCCGGGGAGATCGCCTTACTTCTGCGGAAACGTAAGGATAAGCCAATGCATGGGGTCTTCTTCAATACCATTGGAGACCTTGGCTTATCAAAGCGCCTGACGTTCGTTTTTCTCAGGTCGAGTGGGCTGAAGTTGGAAACTGAGAGGTTCATCATGGCTTTCCAGGATGGTGTCTTCAACACCTTAGTCTACCGCAGTCGCGTGATGGGTATAAACGTTCCTCACATAAGGTGCAGGACCTGCCGCAAGGCGCTCGAGACCCTAATGCACTTGCTATCAGCATGTCCAGCATATGCGGTCTCGGCCTATATCCATCGACATAACGCGGCCGTGGATTACCATCCACGGCACTCTTACGGTATTGACGAGACACCGGTGTTTCTCTACGCTCCGGGGGATATTGAATTCGTTGTGGGGAACGAAAAGTGTCGAATTTATTGGAACTATTCGTTCCCCACGCTCAGGCTCATACAAACTAATAAGCCTGATGCAGTCCTTCTCGACCATCATAGCAAAACGATATTTGTCGTGGAGTTTTCAGCTCCTGGCGAGATGAATATCGTTAGAAAAGAGGAGGAACAACGGAGAGGAGATTTTCTCTTCGAACTCCGCAGACTCTATCCAGACCACTATGTTAAGATGGTTGTTCTGATTATTGGAGTCCTTGGTGGAATGATGACCAGAACGGCTGGACCTATGTTTATAATATTTTTGTTACTGGATTCGTCTTCCTCGGCAATAGGATAATATGTATGAAAATTTGATATTTCATCAATGAAAATAATTAAAATGATAATAATGATTAAAGAACTCAAACACAGTTGGAGCAATTTTTATGATTTTTGTCATTTTGTATTTGTCTTCGCCGGGAATAAAATAATGAGTACTGAAATATGATACTTTATCAATACAAATAATTGTAAAATTCAAGAACGACTGGAACGGCTGGTCTTCGTCGGGAATAGGATAATGAGTATAAAATTATGATATTTTATCAATAAATATAATAATTCCCATTTATTTCATTAGACTTGATGCTTTTTTATCAATTTCAAAATCCTAAATCTGCTCATTCATTGACTGTTAGGCGGAACGACGTTCTCCGGGTCCGCTGGTGTCTTATATAAAATCAGCCCTGTCTCCTTAACCAAATTGAACAGCAAAGTAACTGAGGCGGCAATCCAAAAATCAAAAGAAATAGGCGGAGCTTCCAAACTATATAATTCATTCAACCTGTGAGCTAACCTTGTGTATGAATAACACATTCTATCGATATTTCAGAAATTCCGATAACCATGAATTGCTACTGTGAAGTAATTAGAGCTGGAGGGATAGAAATAGTCGGTCTTCACACTTCTAAAGCGCCTCGTCGCCAGAAAACGCAGCCAGATCCCTACCTGGAGGTTCTCCACTTTGCTCGCTATGCCTCTCCTTCGAACAAACAGCACGACTTGGAAACCTCGTTGAGAATAGCTTTCCAGATTATCGCTGAGAATTGCATCGGCGTTATCAAACAGCTGAAAATTTGCGGAATCGACGGAACTCGTACAGACCTAGAGCTAGGAACCAGAATCAAATCAATTCTTGATAAGCAGACGCTGACTAGATACGACTATGTCGAGAAGAAAACTCTAGCAACGGACGATAGAGACAAATTTGACGTGATAATGGTGGATGAGGAAAGTGTGGCGAACGTGAAAATGGAATCGGTATTTGAGAGTCTTGCTCCAGCTGGATTTGTTCTATACTTTGGCCATGTTTCTGAAAGTGTTAACGATATTTCAACAGTTACCTTCCGAGCTGGATCAACCGAAAACCAAATTAGTCTTTTACGTCCCAGAACAGGTAATTTTTTTTGTATTGATTGTAGCCATAGTTGAATAATATTGTTGAGGAACTGATTTTGTGGATAATAGAGTCTGAAGATCGGGCAAGTAATTTTTTAGCAATATTTTCTGATTTGTGATCCTACTTCCACAGCAGTTTTTCTGTTGCTGTTGCTGCATTGATTTCAATCCTAGGTTTTATATGTATCTAAGTATGTGGTATTTTCAGTTTTATCCATTTCAGTTCTGTTTTATCTTCCTCATAAATCTCATCACTGTGACCGTTATTTCATTTTTATCTTTGTGATAATATCTAAGTTCTCGCATCATGTGAAATACTTTCATGCTATCGCTTTAGATGAATTGGAATGCTACTTAATGGGTCATATCTGTAAAAACCCCACCAACGAGTTTTTAATGGTGATTATTTCGTTCAAACCGATAAAGTGATGAAAACATTGAAGTATAGGCAACAAAACAGATTTTTTCATCGATACAATTTTTTGTGACTGCAAAAAATGATGTACGAGCAATTGTGGATACAGTTGGTATTCACCCATGTTCAAATTTTTTTGCACGATTCTTGAGTCAAATGCATCAATTGTGGGTGCAGTTGACCAGTATTCACCTACAGTCTTGATTCTCAAGTGTTTGTTTGAAGGTGATTGACAATGTTTCATGATGAATTTCACTGGTTCGGACTTCCATTGTCTACTAGATAAAATGATTTGAAATCCCTGAAACTACTAAAAAAAGAATAATGAATAGCTGAAAATAACAATTATATTAAACAAAATAAACCTGAAATGAAATAATGGTGAAATAAACTACAAGTAAAAATATAACATTTGAATAAATAAAAATAAAGGAATGAAAAAAGAAAATAATAAAAAGTGTAGAGATTCCAAGTCACGTTAGTTNTTTATTTTGCTTAATATAATTGTTATTTTCAGCTATTCATTTTTAATTTCCCTTTTTTTAGTTGTTTCAGGGATTTCAAATCATGTTATATAGTAGCCAATGGAAGTCCGAACCAGTGAAATTCAAGAAAAGTGTTGGAACCATTTTTGCTGAGAATTCTATGACCTACAAACTTTCTCTGAATCATTTTTCCGGTAGCTCATAGCATTCGAAAGATATAGGTACGCAAAAAATAAAAATTCCTGACCTTTGACGTCGATCAAAAAACAACGCACAAGTGGGATCGATGGGCACTTTCCATAGTTTATTCAAAATGACGTATTCGAACTCTGTACAAAAATTCAGCTTGCAAGGACTTTTTGCAAACTCAGCCTTTTGTTTGGACTACGGAGTCTCAGCAACGACTCGTTGGTGAGCTCCCTGTTCACTCGTATTTATAATTTTAGATGGTGGTGGGGGGTAGGAATGGTGGTAGTGAAATACTACAATTTCTATTCCAGCCTACCAGCCTGGATTTTATTCTCTATAAGTTAAAGCGACTCCGCCGTGGTGCAGCCTAAAAATATTACAATCAATCAATTTTTCGCTTTTCAGGACTGCCAAAGGACTACAAAGTCGTCAAAATCAGCAACACCGACTTTGGATGGTTGGAAAAGTTGAAAGAGCTACGCCAAGACAACCAGCAAGGAGTAGTGTACTTGGTCAGTCAAGGGGAACCTACCAGTGGGATCATAGGTCTAATTAAATGTTTAGTGGCTGAAAGCAGTGTACCTTACAAATGCGTATTCATCGACCAAGATTGTAAGGAATTCTCCGTGAATGACCACTTGTTCCGGAAGCAGTTGGAAAACAACCTCACTATCAACATTCTAAAGGCCAACGCATGGGGCACTTTTACGTATTTGCCTCCTTTCATGAACATCAAAACGGTGGAAACTGCTAGCGCTTCCTTGTCCATCGACACTCTGGGAGACTTGTCAACCTTTAAGTGGATACAGAGACCGACTCCATCCTCTTTGCCACAGTACGTATCTGTTTAATTGCAGGTATTGTAGTTGGAGACAGGAAAAATGAGAACTCTGTCTTCTGTTCAAGCTTTCCAAACTTTATAATAGGATCTTCTTCAGGAGCTGGAGAGCCAATAGCCCCCATCATCCCCCGTTATTACTATGCATAGTTGATTTCGTATTCATAACCTCACCTTTCAGTTCCTGAAGAAGAGCCAATAAAGTCTAGAACATCTTGGAGAGAAAAAAGAGTTCTCAATTTTCCTGTCTCCAACTGTAACACCTGATTCAATCTTACGCTGTTTCTTATATATGAAAGGTCAGTACCGGAGATGTGCATATGACATCCTTAAGTTTAGGTGAAAACACCTCACCCTTGCCTCTCATGTGAATCTATGACTTTGTAGGTACGTGTTGCAGATTCCCGACGGAAAAACAACAACTCCTCCAGCTAATGCCACGCAGAAACCTGAAGTAAAACTATCAGGCAACTGTGCGACGTCTTCCATTTGGAAGATGTGATAGATCGGTTTCGAAGTACCTGCTTCTGGTAATTTCAGATGGAGTGAACCGTCTAAATATCTGGAATAAACAAAATCAATTTTGTTACAAACGTTCAAGAAAAAGAACGAATTTTTTAAGCTCGAAAATCGTATCGAAGTGCAGTATGAATATAGGCGATATCTGCTTTGCTCAACGGCTAAGTTGACTGAACGTGTTGTGCTGCAAAGGCTAACAAAAGAAGTTGAACACCGAAATGTTTTGCCTGACGAACAATTCAACTTCAGGAGGGCACACTCCACCGAGCTGCAGGCCCTGAGACTGGTCGAAAATTCAATCTCAGACCTGAACAACAGGAATACAGTCCATCTCGTCCTCCTGGATATTTCGAAGGCCTTCGACCGAATCTGGCACGAATGCCTGCTACACAAAATGCTCGATTTCGATCTGTCTCGGGATCTGGCTCGGTGGATCAGGTCCTTTCTGAAAGGCAGAACTTTTCAGGTCCGAGTTGAAGGAACTTTGTCTCCTGTCAGGGAAATCCAAGCTGGAGTGCCTCAGGTAGCTGTACTGTCTCCACTACTGTACAGCCTTTACGTGAGCGACCTTCCAAAGTTCGACCACGTGAAAATTTCCCTTTACGCCGATGACACGGCTCTCCTCGCCTCTTCCATGGGTCTAACGTTGGCGGTCGTCTACATGTAACGCACATTGGACGACCTCGAACGCTGGTACCTTCACTAGAAGATTCGAGTGATTCCAGAAAAAACTCAGGCGATATATTTCGGGAGACGTAGCGTTTCTCCAGACAGAAGGGTCACGATCTCTGGCAGGGAGATCGAATGGCAAATGCGGGTCAAATACCTAGGTCTTTGGGTAGATCGCCGACTCACCTGGGCAAATTACATTGACTACATCAAGAGCAAAGTTCAGGATAGCTTAACTCTATCCTCTGGTTAATAAAAATTCAAAGCTTAACCTCAGAAATAAGGTTTTGTTATACAACACGATGTTCAAGCCTGTCATCATGTATGCTTCAGGCGCCTGGGGACAAACCGCTCCGTCAAACCATTTGGGAAAGGTTGAAAAACAAACTTCTCAGGATGCTGGTGAATACTCCATGGTTCGTGCGGAATGAAGCCATCCGCAGAGATTTGAAGCTATCAATTATACGGCAGTCCATTCAGTCGAGAAATCAGGGAGATTTCGAGTCAGCGGAAACTCAGGATAACCCATTAGTCAGGAAAGCTGTGGATTATACTGTAGACGACCCCACCCGATTCAGAAGGCCCCATTGCTCGGTTGAGTGAAGGCCCCACGGCGTCTGTTGAAATGAACAGTTTGTTCATCTAATACCCCAGTTAGGAAGGGTACACTAGGCCAGAGCGGTATAGAGGTCATTGACCTTTATGTCTCCATCAAAATCACCCTCAGTTATGAACCATTCGTCCTCCTGACGAACCTCAGTTGAAAGGGTAAAGGGAAAAGTTACCAAGCTGATGTGAATGAAGATGACTAGAACATATAGGCGAAAGACTTGGGGAGACATAACGTTTCTCTAGACACAAGGGTTACTATCTTAGGCAGGGAGATCGAATGGCAACCGCGAGTCAAATACCTAGGTCATTTGCTAGTCGACTCACCTGGGTACATCACATTGAGAACATCAAGAGCAAAAGGTTCAATGGAGGATAGCCAGACTCTATTCTCTGGTTAACAGTTACTCGAAGATCAACCATGGAAATAAGATTTTATTATACAATACGATTATGCTTCAGGCACTTGGGGAAAAAGTCGCTCCATCAAAACTTTCCAACCTGGAAAGATTACAGAATGAGATCTAACGGATGCTGGTGAATGCTCCATGGTTCGTGCTCAATGAAGCCATCCGCAGAGAGTTTTCTAGTCAGCAGAAACCCATGAAAACGTATTAGTCAGGGAAAATTACATTACACAGATTACGTTATAGACAACCCCTTCACTCATTTGAGTGAAGGTCCCACGACGCCAGTAAAAGTGAACAGTTTGTTCGTCAAATACTTGAGTCAGGAAAGTCAATGACCTCTATGCCGCTATGGACGGCATAGAGGTCATTGACCTTCATGTCATAACCAAACACTTTGAGTCTTGAGCCATTCGTTTTCCTGACGAACCTCAGTTGAAAGGGTAATGGACTATTTTCCAACCTGATTGAAATTAAGACGACTATGCTGCATCTGTAGAGCAATTGTCTTTTTCAAGGCAGATACACATTACCGAAAGGTAATGTAATGTAATGTAAGGTTATCAAGAACCGGAATTATACAACAGAACCTGTCAGCTCTAGGTCGTCCTTGTTAGGACTATCCAAAGAATTCATCATCGATGGTTTTACACCGCGATGAAGGACCAACTAGCCTGCCACCTGGGAAATATTCGCCCTAACCTAACAAATACATCGGGAGGTACGTCGAAAAAGTCTACTCACAAGGCAGCCTATGCTGGCGCTCTATTGCACCAGTAACTGGGGCTTCAAACGCCCTTGTGCCTCCGGAAGCTGTTCTCATCCTCAGGCTTTGGGAGATAGGTAGGTCGAGTCGCGAGGTAGTGTATCGGCTAGTTAGGAAAGCCTAGGGAAGCTCTGGTCCGGCTTTGTGCTGTAGAACGCCGCCCCTGTCTAGTTAAGTAAGAGGTGTTTCGCGCAGTGTATGTGGTCACCACGGGACTATTTCGCAGAGGTGACGGGAAGAAGGGGAAGAGACAATAAGGTCAGTCGGAAGAGCGATGAACTGGAAGGTGGTCGATGCTCGACGACAATTTGAATAAAAAGTTCCGACAAGTGGATGTTTACGTATTAACCTGAAGTAAAACTATCAGGCAACTGTGCGACGTCTTCCATTTGGAAGATGTGATAGATCGGTTTCGAAGTACCTGCTTCTGGTAATTTCAGACGGAGTGAACCGTCTAAATAGCGTGTCACTCTTTAGGTAGTGACACGCTTTGAGGGTTTTGTGACTTGTGACAAGCGTCGACAGTCTCAGTTGGTTTACGTTTAGTCGTAGCTTCTACATTCAAAAAATTATCCGATGCTACACTCTCAATCTCTCCAATTTCTACCTAGCTGTTATAATTATCAAAAAATACTTTCAGATTTCCCCCCCAGGAGTTGGCGGACGTTTATTATTCGGCGCTAAACTTCCGGGATGTTCTGGTGGCGGCAGGATCTTTACAAATAGAACTGGATTCGAATGCGACGGCTGCCGAAGTCAATCTCGGTTTCGAATATTCCGGAGTTACTTCTTCAGGCCGGAGAATCATGGGGATGACGTTCGAGTCCGTCGCGTTGCAAGTGAGAGTCCATCCGAGTCTGACGTGGGAAGTGCCCGAAACGTGGAGTCTGGAGGAGGCCGCTACTGTACCTGTTGTGTATACGACAGTGAGTTTTTATAATTTTCTCAATGTGTCCTGTATATCTTAGGACATCGGAAAAATGATTATTCTATATACCGAGTGACGATGAGCTCATCGTATACGGCGTAATTTCGTTGTTTTTGGGGTTAGAAATTTGAAATTTGAGTTAATAACTGATTCTGCTTCAACCCAAAATGAAGCCTAGTTAGGGATTTCAAATGAAACCCGCTGCTTTTTTAGACCATTCAACAGTATATATTTTTTTATAACGATATAACACAAGTGACCATTTCTATTCAAAATGGCGGTAGAAGTCATTTTTTTCAAATTCAATATGGCGGCATTATGACGTCATTCATGTTGTACTCGATGAGAAACATGTCATTGTCAACTTGTTTTTCTCTAAGGCTCTAACTTTGACATTGAAGTGTATTTCTTTTACTGAAAAAATGTCAATGATACTGAGCGGTTCATTTTTTTCGTGTTGTGTTTTTTAACCCACTCTGTAAGATAAGACAGCTTTGAAAGTTTCACTGGCATATAAGCTCTCAGACAAACTCTAAATTACGTGGTACAGTCGAAAGCATGAAGCGTCACATTCTGGAAGTCTTTGCCTCCATGACGATTGTAATAAGAATGGTTCAATGTGTAAAACTTCACAAGCCCTCGACAGCATAATAACTAAATCAAACTTTCAGACATAGTAATAATTATTTATTTTAACAAAAATAATAGCATTTTACAAGTGTTGTTCATGACGAAAAATTTCAAGAACGAAGTTTTAATGATGAACGAGAACGGGAATGTTTCCTACTTATTCATCAAACTCAAACACCTGTTCATGCAGCTGCAGTTTCGTAAGAAGGTATCATCTTTCCCTCCAACCGATTTCCTGGAGTCTTTGAAGTCCACTATTTTTTATTTATTATAGCTCTGTGTACACTCATCATGGCCAGACCATTAAGGCAATCTTCTGCCATGGTGCTTCTTAGCCATGTATCAGTCTTCCGAGGCTGCTAAATGATTGCTCTACTGTACAGGTCATGCATGGTCAAGCGATCAACATTTTCAATGCTTTTTGCGTTTTGAGAAAGAAGGAATTTGTTTCTTTTAGGACATCAACAACTGTAAGGTTTGTTAGATCAAGCCTATCGTGCCATAATTGCTGTCAAAGTTCGAGTTCATTCTTTATGTTCGGTGAATCATAAAACTGGGCAATAGATTCACAAGTTTGTTTCAGATTTTCAGTCGTCATCTTTTGTATCTGCGCCGGGTGTAACTTCGATAATGCGAATAATGGCGTGTTTTCGTCAGCAAAACGTACTTCAAGGGAGATGATAATTGAATTCAAGTATGGTATTACTAAAGACCTCTTACAGTATTCTGAAGGGTTTTCTGCTGGATGATTGCTTCTATGACGTTGTTTTCCCGTAATACGCGGCATTGATGTAATGTCCTCCTCCCGTCCGATTTTCTCCTCAACAGCAATAGCTTTCTTTATAATTTCGTCTGTCACTTTTTCCGGATTCTCCGGATTAGGTATCAACTTCCTCCTCAAAACTCAAACACCTCAAAAAGTTTATAGTATCTTTGGTGGTTCCCATGGCATTTCTAATTTCAGGAAGTGAATTTAGATCATTGTTCGTAACAATATCTTCTACTTTAGGTACGCCGCATACAAATCATACAAAACTAACGACACACACACACACACACACACACACCATACCTACTTCCTACCTACATATTTTTACACTGTTTGAAGGCAAATCTGATATAGTCGTGATCATAATAGCAGCGTTTTCAAAAACGGATGTCAAAATCTTAATTTTATTCTGAATATTTCAATACTTTATACAATATACATTAAACCTTGTGAATACATTTAATAGACAAGGAAGTCAATTCCTCGTACTTTGGTTGCCTGGCGGCTAGTTACATTTGCAACTGCCCCTCTGCCCCCCCGTTGACGACGCCCTTGATCGATGACACCAATTTTCAGTAAGTAGGAAGTTATAGTTGATTTTCACTCGTTGTTTCGGTAGCGATTTGGTTCAATTCGAATTCGTAGATAAAAATCGTTCAACAACATCATAGTAATGAGTTGAGAAGGGGCAAATTTGTATTGAGATATGGAGCTTCAAAAACACATCAAAACGGACAAAACTTTTCAAAAACCTAATAACACATCAACTTGATGAGTTTCAAATAAAGCTGTTTTTGAAACTCTTGGTTCATTATCATTTCAACCACTCTTACTGTTTTCGCAGTGCTTTTATGCGATGTTAATGAGAGGGCAGATGAAAAGAGGAGAATCGATACTGATTCATGCCGGAACAGGAGGAATTGGTTTGGCCGCCATTTCCATAGCTCTCAGCATGGACGCCACAGTGTTCACAACCGTCAGTACCACCGAGAAGAAGGAATTCCTCAAGAAAAAGTTCCCCGGACTCGAGGACAGATATATCGGTGAGATTCATTTACTACCATTTCCATTTTTGTGTTTCTACTACTTCATTTTTATACAAAAAATCCGTTTAAAATATGTTTTTCCGTCAATCAGCTGTCGCACCCATACGAACGACAACTCTCAGAAGTTGAGAAATTTGTGCGAGCTAAGGACTAACGAGGTATTACCTTTTAACGTGTGAGTGGGAGACTTCGTAAGAAAGTAAGCAATTTAGTTCAAAATGAACTCTTCACGAAGATCTATGCTCTGAAGTTTCTTTCAGATAAAAACTAAAAGAAGGAATACTTCTTTTGGAAACAACTCAATTTTTTGTCTTTTTTTTTCGTATGTTTCCCACATTTTTTGTAAAGGCTTTTTTATTAAGCGCTTCCTATCTTTGAATTTAATTAAAACAATGTGTGCGTGAGATATATCTTTTTGGGATTGTCAGTTAAAAATCTATGATCAAAAGAATTTTGTATGTGCTTGAAATTGGTCACACGTGAGAATCGTTGTATTTGTGCCACGTGCCAGTATACGAGTGTCTACAGTATGCTGCGTAATGCCTACTGTAAGTAGTCCCACTGTGATTCGAAAGTGCATATAGATTATAACGACAAGTAGCCACATTGTCTGCTGCAAAATTGCTCATATCTAATCTTTCTAGAGGGAATGACAACATTCAATTTGTCTCTAAATCATTCCGTTGAAAATATTTTTTTAAAATGAAATACTGAAATACGGGGAAGCTTGTGCATTAATAGGGACTTGTGTATGTCCTCTTTCCCTTGCCTTTCAAACACGTCGGTTTTTCATTCCCATTCACAGTGTCTTCTCTTGTGAACGAATCCAAGCGTTGCGACAACTTCAATTGGTTAGTTCTCTGTGGTATCGAGGGGGACATATCCCAGAAAGGATCAAAGGTTACCGATGAGTGTACACAGTGTGTGTGCACTTCATAGTGGATTTCAATTGACCAAAGAAATCATCTACAATTAAAGTTATGCATCCTCAAACATGCGAGCCAAGACTCTTGTGTATTTCCGCTGTTGCTCAATTTTCCATTAAGATCGGTTTAGGTTTCTCATTAATCCTGTAAACGATTCATGGGTAATGCCATCAAGATGCCCAGGAGTTCCTTCGTTATCTTTCAGAAGGTTTACATGAAGACGTTAGTAAATAAACAAAAAGGTTTCTGCGACACCTGCCAATGAGAGCGTAGTAATTCGTCACATGACCAGTTTGTTCGGTTGGTTACGCTTTCGGTGCGGTTGGGTTGGGTCTAACCGAACCTACCTAACCTAGCATAAGATAACCTAAACCGACCCAACCGCACCGATAGCGTGACCAACCGAACAAACTGGTCATGTGACAAATTGCTACGCTCTCATTGGCTGGTGTCACAGAAACCCTGTTGTTTATCTACTAACGTCTTTACGTAAACCTTCTGAAAGATAACAAAGGAACTCCTGGGCGTCTTGATGGCATTACCCATGAATCGAGGAGCAAAACTTTGAATCTGATTTAAGGAGACTTTGTTTACTACTTTATCAAATGAACCATCTGACCACAATTCCTTGATGACTTCTGCAAACGCTTCGGTTAAAGCACCCTCCATACTAGAAATACTAGTATTGATATCATTCATGAATTCATCCTTTTTGAAATATTGCAATAACCTTCTCGTGTTTGATTTAAATTGGATTACGCTGTTTATGAAACAGGTGTTGCCAATATTTTTCAACCCATTTACTCCAAGGGTCATGACTGAAGAATTTATCACTGGACAATTTGAAATATCTCTGGAAACCATTTCCGAATTTTGCTGAGATAAAAGTAATTTTTCCATTTGCTCTTGTTTCAAATCCATAAAGTGGTCTGCTATTACCTTTCTTTTCGTTATGAAGTTGATTTTCAGGAAACATGTAAGTTTCATCAAGTTTTTCAGCACTTGTGAAGCACTGTTTCTCAGAATCAGGAAGAGTACCAAAAAACGAAGCCGCATTTCCTCTTTGGATGGCTATACTCATTTTTGAATGAGAAAAGATGAGAAAAACCGTTCATATGAAGAGTGCATAGTATTGGACCTAGAATGGTTCCTTGAGGTACACCCTTCTCAATTTTTTTATTCTCTAAGTTCATCGACATTTTTACTTTTTGTGTTCGCTTTTCCAGATAGCTCCTGAACAGCTCAAAGCTCTTGCCTGTGATATCCATGTCTTCTAAGGTTATTAGGATATGCAGATGTCCGGTTGTGACGACTCATACACATTTTCTTCTGTTATATCAGAGTATCATAATCAATAGTTGTGTTGGAACTCTAATTTTCAATAAACTCAATATTTCAACTGAAAATTATGATTGATTTAGTTTTGTGTTGAATTTTAGGTAATTCTAGAGATAAGACTTTCCAGAACTTGATTCTGAACGAAACAAAAGGAAGAGGCGTTGATTTGGTATTGAACTCTCTGGCCGGCGATCTATTTCAAGCCTCTTTGAAATGCATTGCGAAAAGGGGGCGATTCTTAGAGATCGGTAAAATGGACTTCGTCCAGGGCTCTGCCATTGATTCGAGTATGTTCTTGAAGGATTGCAGCTTCCATGGAATCCAGCTGGATGACCACTTTGGTTTGACCGATGAGGTTAATAGAAAGATTTATGAATTGCTCAACGATGGTAAGTAAGACTTCATGTTGTTATTATCAATTGAAAATACAAAAATGTATGTAGCGGCATTTTCTAGTGGACAACATAACATTATTCTCACTAGTGGCGCCGGTTCTTGATTTGCAGTGGATGATGCTGAAGTGAAAAGTGCTTGTGAAATTCTGGTGAACTTCTGATTACTTCACAGGCTCCATCCAGTATTATTCTGCCATGTAGGCACTAACTAAACTAAACCGAGTTTATTAGCTGCTCAGACAGCTGTCCTTAAGATAAATGCTCCAATTCCTGCTCTCTCATGGCGCAGACCATGCAGAGAAGGAGATCCGACTTCCTGACGACTTTACAGGCTTCATCCAGTACCATTCTGTCATGCAGACACTCCAAACTCAAAACTCCACGTGGAACGGACGATTTGGGATGAAAACTTCTTTGGAGGTGCATCATTTTTCGGGTCTTCACGTCGGGTTGNACCTTGTGGTACTCCATATCTCCTGACCAATGAAGTAGATTGTTCACCATCCAGTATGACATTTTGAGTCCGTTCTGATAAATATGTGTCTAAAAGAGTTACTGCGCTGCGAGAAAAACCAAAAAACTGAAGTTTTTTACACAAGATAAAAGAATCTACGGTGTCAAAAGCCTTGCTGTAATCAAGCAAAATGAGACAAGTGAATTTTTTTCCATCGCATGACTTGAAAATATCATCAGTGATAAGGGTCAGTGCTGTTGTTGTACTAAATTGTGGGCGAAACCCCGATTGCACGTCAGAAATGAGATTTTTCTCCACAGAGTAGTTGGAAATTTGATCCTTCATTATCATTTCCAGTGCTTTCGACATAGTAGGAAGTAGGCTGATGGGTCGAAAATCAGACAATTCGGTGGGATTGCTACATTTTGCTAGAGGGGTAACTCTGGCATGTTTCCATATAGATGGAAATCGACTTGTTGTGATAATGGAATTGAAAATAAATGTAATATGCGGCAGTAATTGAGGTATCACCAGATGTCACAACCTACAGTACTACTTTTGATTTTATTTAAATATCTTCTGACTGTTTCATTATCAATAGTTTTGAAGGAGAAATCATTTTCATATATGTGAAGCATATCTCCCGCAAAAATCAATTTGATAGTCTGTTTTAATTTCATACAGATAGCATGCGTGGACTCTTCTACACTCCTCAAGGACTGATTCTCCAGAAGCAGAAAGTTTAAGATCTTCCATATAAAACAAATGGGTTTTGCCACGGAGTTATCATTACTATTATCAGTAATATCATCGTCATCTACTAATTTCTTGAATGTTCTCTTCATAAGGTATCAACAACGGAGTAGTGAAGCCACTGCCAACCACCGTTTTCGGTAAAAACGAAGCAGAACAAGCGTTCAGATTCCTATCGACGGGAAAACACAAAGGAAAAGTCCTCATAAAGATCCGAGATGAAGATCCGATATCCCTTTCAATAACGAAAACTATTTCTGCCGAGGCGAAAGTCTACTTTGACCCGTCGAAGTCCTACATCCTGGTGGGAGGCCTTGGAGGTTTCGGACTCGAATTGACCAACTGGATGATCGAAAGAGGAGCAACCAAAATTATTTTGAATTCAAGGAGCAAAGCATTGAACGGTTACCAAGGACTGTGCTTGAAAAAATGGGCGTTATTCAAGAACGTTGTTGTGAAGGTATCGAATGCTGACACCGGCTCTTTGGAGGGGGCTGAAGAATTGGTGACTCAGGCCCAGCAAATGGGACCGGTTGGAGGTGAGTTTGCTCTTGTTTTAATCTTCTTTTTGGTAATTTTTGAAATGATACTGAAATGTTTCTAAATATTGAGAATATACATCGTTCGAGCGGCGAAAATAATCTGCCAATCGATTTTATTTAATGAAAGTCGTCACTCAATCTATACTGGCAAGTCCTAGGAAGCTAAAATTTGTGATATAGCTGCTTCTTAGGTCTTAGATGCGTACCAAGGAAGGTTTTTCAAATATTCCAACTGGGGAGCCCCCCTGGAGATAAAAGGGGCGCGTTCTTTTCATTACCGTTTCTCCGTACCGCTATATTTTTGGAGGCTGAAATTTTGTATGTAGGTTCGTTTTATGTTGTAGATGTGCAAAAATAATTATTTTTAAATATTCCTACTGGGGCGCCAGCTGCTTAGGAAACAGACGCGTCTATAAAACAACATCATTTTCTCATCACTGTTACTCTATGCCTTTAAATTTTCAGTAGGTGAATTGATATTTAGTATCGGCATTGCACCCGTGCGAACCCGGAGCGGATCGCTACTTTTATCATGAAATGTNGTCGAGTTGTGAACTCGACATCCTCGACTTATGCGTCCAATATGGTAGTTTTTTTTACGGGTATCGTATAAATGAGTTGGTAGTCGGAAGCATCTGTTTTTATGATATGTAGCTACAGTGCTGTATTAGAAGAGCTGTCGAATATCGAAAATATGAGCCTCCGAGAATGAAGCTTGGGTTGAGAAGCGCCTAGGCTTAAATGAAACCAATTTCAAGAATCTATTTTGCAACACTTCCAGCGGACGAATATGGGTGTGAAAGACTCCTCCCCAACAGTCAATTCCATATCGTAAGTGACTTTCAACCAGGGCATGATAGAGAGTTTTGAGTTGAGTTGTTTTAAAATATTTTTGAGAAATTTGAAGTTATAAAGGATGAAGTGCAGCTTATTGCATAAATAATCTATATGAGAATTCCATCTGAGGTGTGGGTCTATAACGACACCTAAGTATTGCTTCAGAGTTCTCTCTGAAATACGCTAATAAAACATTTTCTGTTACTTTAGTAACTTTCCAAAATGCAAGAGATTTTATAGAATCTTATTTATAAAACAGAAAGCAGTATGTTTCATATAACGGATTCAATTCCGACATTTAACTAGCATCATCTGGCGTTCCTCAAGGATCAAATTTGGGACCACTTCTATTTTTAATATTTGTTAATGATCTATGTAACAATTTAATATGTGAAAGGTTGTGCTTTGCTGATGATTTGAATATTTTTTCTATTGTGAATGATACGAATGACTGCCTAAATCTGCAGAAACAACTGGATTATATTCAAAATTGATGCAATATCAACAAGTTATGTCTTAACGTAAGAAAATGCAAAGTCCTGAGTTATACTAGAAAAATTACATCAATACACTATTCTTACAAGGTTGAGAATACTCAACTGGAACGATGTACCAAAATCAAGGATTTAGGTGTTATTTTTGACAAAGAGTTGAATTTCATAGAAAACACAACCTTGAAAGTCTCTCAAGCACTGAAGACATACGGTTTCATAATGAGAAACTGTAGAAATTTCACCAACATCAAAGTATTGAAACTACTGTATTTTTCTAATGTACGATCAAAACTTGAATATGCTAGTATTGTCTGGTCCCCTTTTTACGAGTGTCATAAAGCAGCCATTGAGGGCGTTCAAAAAAGATTTTTGAAATTTCTCATCTTCAAAATAGATGGTACATATCCTGAAAGGGGAACAAACAATGAGAAATTATGCATGAGGGTCAATATTGACAGCTTAGAGTGCAGAAGAAACTGTGCATTTGTTATATTTTTGTATAAAATCTTGAATGGCCCCCCAGTCTGCTCAGCCTGATTAATATCAATGTTCCTTCATATTTTTCTCGAAATCATGCAACTTTCAAACTTCCAAGAATAAGAACAAATATGCAATTGAAATATCCACTTTATATAATGTGTAGTGAATTCAATAAAATTAGCAATCGAATTGACATTAATTCGTGTTCCATCAAGGAACTCATCTCGGTGATGAAAAATTAAACAGCATTGTTATATCGATATTTCGTTAATTTTTGATTATTTACCTCGCACATTATATCCCTCGGCGCTACGCGCCTCAGGATATAAAAATGCTCGATAAATAATAGCTCACTTCTCACCCTAGGTATATAATATACTATTCTCTAGTAATTCCCTGAGATATTGTAAGATCTGTGGAATTGAGACGCTAGGAAATAAAAAACTAACATTAAAGGAAACAAAAATGTCACCTTCTGGTAGAACGATGCTTTTGTATGTTGTATGAACTCCAAGGAGTTTTTGATACTAACATTTGGTTCCGAAAAATGCAAGTCTTTAAATTCGTTAGTGAGATATCCAATAGCTGACGCAATGGGGCGCATTGATTTTCCTGGTCTGTGGATTTTTGAGAGGCTATATAGTTTTGACACCGTTGGGTTGGACACTTGTAAGTTCCGTTTCAGTTGAACGGTAGTATGATGTCGCATTTCTTTAGAACGTATTTTACTTTGGCAATCATCATTGGTAACAGGTTCCTGGATCCTGGATGACTGCACGTAAACTGTCATAAACTAACATTTTTTGTTTAGGAGTGTTCAACACCGCCTTGGTTCTGAGAGACTCGCTACTAGAAAACCAAACGAAAACCATGTTCGAAGAGGTATTCAAGGGCAAAATCGTATCTGGGCGAAATATGGATGTCGTCACTCGCAATCGGTGCCCGGACCTGGAATATTTCGTGATGTTCTCTTCGATAGCTGGCGGAAGAGGAAACGCTGGACAAACGAACTACGGGATGGCGAACTCGGCGTTGGAGAGACTGTGTGAGAAGAGGCGGCAGGAAAATCTGCCGGGGTTGGCTATTCAGTGGGGGCCCATTGGAGATGTGGGCTTTCTGGCTGGTTACGAGGACAAGGTTACTTTATTTTCATCACAAAATTACGGAAGCGCTACATATTTTTATCATCTATATCTTGGATATTTCGACTTGAAATCGGAATTTCGAGTTTTCGATAGTTTTTTTTTTAATTTCTATTAAATTTAATCAATATATCAACATTATTTCAGAATTACAACAACAACAACTAAAATCTATAAAAAAAAGTTATGCATTCACATATACATATATATACACATATAACGGGTGATTTTTTAAGAGGTATAGGATTTGATTTTCAAAACAACCCAAAAATTTTTGGAAAATTGATGAAATATTCATTGGAATCGATAGAACAATCAATATAATTTAATATTTAAAGATGATTTCATGCAAATGTTGTCCGCGGCTCTGCTTTAGATGGCCCATGCGCATGGTCCAATTTTGGCACACTCTCTCTGATATATCGACCGGTATTTCACGTATAAATGCTTCAATATTGGCTTCCAGAGCGTCAATCGTTGCTGGTTCACCGAAAGCGGCTCTCAATTGGGACATTGTTTCGCGTGCCGTATGGCATGTCACATCGTCTTGTTGAAACCACATGTCAGGCATGTCCAATTCTTCCATTTTGGGCAACAAAAAGTCGTCACTCATCACACGGTAGCGCTCGCCATTCACAGTAACGTTCCGGCCATTGTCGTCTTTGAAGAAGTACGGCCCATAATCCACACCAAACAATGACTTTTTCGGGATGCATCGGTAGGTCTTGCTTGTTGCTGGTCTTCACTCCAGATGAGGAAATTTTCCTTGTTAACGTATCCATTCAACCAGAAATGAGCCTCGTCGCTGAACACAATTTTTCGATAAAAATGTGGATCTTCCTCCAAGTTTGCCGGCGCCCATTCACCAAATATTAGACGTTGTGGGAGGTCTTGTGGCTTAAATTCTTGCACCAGCTGTATCTCATAAGGTGTTACACCCAAATCCTTTCGCAAAATTTCCCACGTAGTGGAGTAACAGCGGCCCAATTGCTGCGAACGGCGGCGAATCGACATTTCACGGTCATCACGAACACTGGCGGATACAGCCGCAATATTTTTATCGGCCCTCACTCTACGTATGCGTGCTGGTAGTTTTATGTCCAATAATGTAAACTGGGTCGAAATTTAGTCGCAAGCTTCCGAATTGCTTCCTCAGTAGGCCGACGAAACTACCCATAAATTGGAAGAAGTGCACGATGCACCTTCTTCACCGAGCATGAAGTTTGGTAATAAAATTCAATAATTTGCAAGCGTTGTTCATTCGTAAGTCGATTCATGGTTAAATTATAGATCAAACTAAATAAGTTTGACAATGACACAAGACACGATTCACGCGTGATCTGTCAAAAACAGTGTTGCCAAAAAGATACCAACAAAAAAATCACTCATTATATACACATATATAAATATATTTTTTATTCAATAGCATGAATAGTCAGACATACTTATTCTGGTATAACGCTATCCACAAATCATATCAAACAAATGAAACCTCGAGTCTGGTTGAGATATGTTGACGACACCTTCATAATATGGAACCATGGGAATACTGAACTAGACGCCTTTCTGAAACACATCAACAGCGTGAGACCTTCCATCACTTTCACAATGGAGAAGGAAATCCACAATGAATTGCCATTCTTAGACGTTTTGGTGAAGAGGACCGACACTAAGTGGGAAACATCTGTATACCGAAAACCCACTCATACGGGACAGTATCTGAACCACGAATCCAACCACCATCAATCGACAAAAAGAGGAAGCATCAAGACTCTATTAGACCGTGCTTTTGGGCTCTGTAATACAAAGGAAGGTCTCGAGAAGGAACTAGACATCATCAAAAAAGATCTTCAGCGGAATGGATACTCCAAAGCGATGGTAGAAAAGACTTTGGCTAAAAGACAGCAGGAGCCTCGCAAGGAAGAGAAGCCGTCACAACCAGTGCTTGCACTTCCCTACATCAGAGGATTATCGGAGAGGATAAGAAGAATTGGTTCCAAGTACAACATTAGAACCTGTTTCAGATCCGGTAACACTATCCGTAGCAGCCTCACGAAAACCAGGCCCCCAAACGCGGACTGCGATTCCAAGAATTGCATTTACCGGATACCCTGTGAGTGCGGAAAATCCTATATTGGTGAAACTAAGAGGCCATTGAATGTTCGCATTGCCGAGCACAAGAAGCACACACAGCGAGGAGAAACCAGCAAATCAGGAATAGCAGACCATGTTTGGACCCATCAACACAACATCGAGTGGTCCCAAGCTGAGATCTTGCACAGAGAGGAACATTGGTTCAGGAGAAAATTTAAGGAAGCCGCATACATGTTGTCCAACAACGTATTCAGCCAGGCCATCGTAGATATACGAAACATATGGAAACCCATCATCAAACGAAAAATGACCAACTCCCGCCAAAACGGTCATCTCTCACGGAATCAGTGAAGCGGAAAATGGAAAGTAGAGAAAGTGAAAGTATTTCAACGACCTATAAAATAGTCATCTCTCGGAGGAATCAGTCCAGTCATCACCCGAAGACGATTGTAGATACCAACAATCGAAACGTCGTGAACTAACGTGACTTGGAATCTCTACACTTTTTTATTTTTATTTTCTTTTTTCATTCCTTCAATATTTATTTATTCAATTATTCTATTTTCACTTGTAGGTTATTTCACTATCATTTCATTTCAGGTTTATTGTTGCTTAATATAATTGTTATTTTCAACTATTCTTTTTTACTTGTTTCAGGGATTTCAAATCATTTTATATAGTAGACAATGGAAGTCCGAACTAGTGAAATTCATCACGAAACATTGTCAATCACCTTCAAACAAAAATTTAGGACATTTAGACTGAGAAATAAGTAAACAAAGAAATGAAATAGGTTTTTCACAAAAATGATATATTTTATTTATCCTAGTTTCTTTCCTGAAGTATAAATTCTTTCAATAATTTTTTTGAATTTCACAATTATTTTCACAGTTTTTTATGTGATCAGGCAATTTATGGAAAGCAGAAAGAGAATCATGATTAAATCGATTTTTGCTTATTATAGAGCTTGCAGCATCAAGATGAAACAGATTATGTTGCCTTGTATCATGATCATCAATTTCTGACTTTTTTATTAACATAAGATTTAATTAGACTTAAGTCAGAATTTCAAAATTTTGAGTTTGAAGTCAAAGTTTTCATTGAAAACTCAAAATTTCGACTTCAAACTTGAAAATTTGAGATCAAAGTCGAAATTTCCAGATTAAAGTCGAGATTTTGACTTTAAATAACAATAAAATGGCGGAATTATATTCCAGGTCGTCTTTGATATGCTACCACAACACATAACTTCTTGTTTGAGAGCTCTTGAGAAATTCATGTTGGGAAATTACGTTGTGGGAAGTAGCGTAGTTTTCGCAGACAACACAGTTTCTTCTACTTCAACTGCGGCCAGCCGAACTCCTGTTGAAGCTGCTGCTCATATTTTGGGCATAAAAGACTTGAGTGAGTACCTACACTATACCCTGAAAACAACCACTTATCGATTTTGAATCAAATAAGACCATAACTACAAATCTTATCCGCCATTTTGGAGCCGCCATTATGTTTTTCTTTCTTATCAGACAGGCAGTAAACAAATCTAAAGAAATGAGCTTTAAATGTTCAAGCCAGTCTCGGATATACGTACACAGTAGGTCGAACGGACTGACGCCTATCAGAAAACAATCTTCACAGAAAATTTGCTGCATATGCAATTGGCAATACAAAGTGAAAGAGTCGACCTTCAATTTTGGAACGGGCACACTTGCTGTAGACCAGTTTCGGGCTCCTTAGTCACTCGTCAGTGCAAGATAGTGGCCATCATCGACCTAAAGTCAATGATATTCCATAATTTAAAATCGAAATTCCTTCAGAGTATTTCTTTCCTCATCCTAGGTTGAAACGAACAACAAAAATGTCACTCTATCTAGTGGATGAGGTACTAACCAACTGCATATCCGAAATTTGCTCGATTCTTCTGATTAATAATAAAAAATAGTCTGCCCACTGACATGCATAACTTAAAGATCCCATACAAGATCTCTAAGTTATGCATGTTGGGAAATCCCAACCTTCTCCTCGTTCTTTCCCTTTTCTAAAAACCTCTCCCTTTCTTTTCTCTCATTTATATTTTTTTTTTGTCCCAAAATTTTCCAACTTCTTTCCAAGTCGAAAAAGCAGGGGGAAGGCTCCCCCCGCCCCCCACCCATGGCGACGGCTCTGAATTCACGTAATCGCACTCCTCTTCATAATGTTTGGCTCGCTACCGTTGAGATGGCAGCACTAGCGACAACAGCATCACTCGGAGGTATTTTTGTCAAGCGCTGCTGGAATAGCCTAAAAAATTAACCAGGCATTTGGAAGAGATGGTGTCAATGCACTGGTCGACGG